AGTACATTTTGTAACGGTACCGTGACGTCGCGTTAAAATGTTGGGTTTTTTACGGGTTTTGAAAAGTTAAGGGTGTGAATAGGGAGAAAAAATTCTGGAAGGTGTTGACCGTGGAAAACAATTAAGTGTAGGGTGCAAATAGGGGCTTTGGCCAAAAAATAACATCTCAGCACTGCAGATACAGCTCACCCATGTAACAGGAGAGACTGAGAGAGCATTTAACGTGAAATTATGAAGCGTTAACACCGTTAACGGAAAACTGGAAAGTCTTCGCTCAATATCTTATGCCCGCCTTCTTAAATTTATTTCCCCTTCTTTTCCCATGTTTAACATTCCATTACTCCTCCACATTTAAGACACCCCGCCTTTTTTTGTCCCTTCTTTTCTATTTGGCCGTCAAAATTTAAGCTTTGTTTTTCTTCCTCTGTTTCATTATAACGTACTCAAAGTCTTAGCTTAGATCATTAAGCAAGTTTTTCTGTTTCCCCACCCCTTTTAAATTGTATTTTTGGTATTCATCTTAATCATCAATTCTTGTTTTTAAAGTTCATTGAACAAAATTTAGAACTAAGGGGGGTGTTTGGTAGGGAAAAACTTTTCTCTTAAAGTTCTCTAAGATTATTTACATATTTTACACACATTAATACTACAACAAAAACATAATTTTCAATCTATAAAATTTTCTTCCCACTTATTTTGCAAGAAAATGTTTGTCTATAACTATTCTCATATTCAGCATACTTAACAACTTTGCTTACCAACTTTCCTTGTATCAATTTCTTGTTAAATACAACAAAATTAATAACCAACAAAATTCTAACTAAACTTAACAACATTTTATACAGTACTTTATAATTTTATGTACGGTACTTTATCAACTACTTTCCAAACAAAAAGAGGCAAATAATATCAAATATGATGAAATTTTATTAATAATAGAGAGTGCTTACAACTTGGACCACTCTATGATACAAGACAAATTAATAATTTTTTTTTCCTGGATAGCAATAAACTATTTATTTATTTATTACATTGAATCCAAAGACAAGTAACTCAAAAGTCAAAACCTTAACAAAAACATTATGGTTCATCCACAATTGAAACACAGTAACTTCCCACTCCTTAACAATGTAACAGCACGTCTCCTTCTCCTCCACAGGGTTTATCAACCAATCTGACACCTAAATGATATCAAACATTCCATTCTCATCAAACTCAATATCTTTGAACAACTTGTTATTCCTAAAAGTCCAATGAGTTGAGATAACAGCAAGCCAAACAATATCCGCACCATTATTTACCTCCTTAGGAGTGCGTGAAAATGTGCCCATGTTGATGAAATGCATCATAATTCATAACAGCATCCTGCAATGACAAACTCAATCCCCTACCATGAAACGTTCTTTTCAAATTCTAAAAGCCACTTTACAATGTTTAAAGGTGAATAGCATTTTCCTCCACCTCATCACAAAAGGCACATCTAGCCAAATAGAAAATGATTTTCCAAGTCACAACAAAATACTAAAGAAACACCCAAGTTTTTTTAATCTAGCCTTTTAAATTTTTTCAATTCAGAAAGGAAAATCTATTTAATTTCTCCCAGATTCAAATTTTTTTCTCTGCTCGTGCTCTCCTTTGAGTTCTTCTCTTGGATCACCTTCAATTTCTCATGGATTTTTTTATTCCTTTCTTACATTCTATACAATTTCAAGTTACCTAATAAATTTTAAAAAGCTTGCATCTGAAATTCAAGAGACATATGTTTGCTATCCATAAATCTCTTAACGAGCTAAAGCAAATCTAAGTTCTGGCCATTTGAAGAGTAAATTGACTAAGTACTTGATTTTCAAGTACCATCTAACAAAACCATATTCAATCAGTATAATAACCTGATTGGACCAAAAAAAAAAGGACAATAAGCTGAAAACTTAACAGAAATCATGTAAAATTAACAAAAAGTCCAGATTCACAATCTAATGATTTACAATAATGAATATAAATTCATCATCAATATGCAAGAATTGAAAATAAGAGTTCAAATAGACTGAACTTATCTCAAAATAGAAATTACCCTTTTTTACACTTGAAGCTTTCTATTCCTCTTCCTTTCGCAAAGTACCTCAAAAAATCCCGTCTTTCACTTATCATCTCAATACCACCACCAGATCCCCAAAATCTTCATTAAGCTCCTGTTAGACTCCAATGCGACACAATCAACCACAACAACCACTATAGCACGAAATGACAGCCCATGGCCATCCGCCTCTACCCCTCCCTCACCGTCTAAGATGAGATGGAAAACGAAGGCGCCCTAGTGGCTTTAGTCGCACAAGAGGAGGGAGAGAGGGAGATCTTCTAACCTGTGGAAGCTAGGGCTTTTTCTCCGTCAACGGCGTTAATGCTTCTTGATGACGTTAAATGCTTTCTCCCGTTACATCGATGAGCTGTATCGTGATTCTAAAATGTTGCTTTTTTTTTTTTTTTATACCAATGAATGGTTGGATCAAGTGATAAGCGGTTTGTTTCAGTTTAAGCAAAATTTCGAGTTCGAAACTTTGTGTACGCAGCAGCCCTCGCTAGGAGACTCACCCACCATTTCCAGATGCGCGATGCGGGTCGAGTCCAAATTAGTCAGGGCAAAGCCCCGAATACCGAGCGAATAACCAAAAAAAAAAAAAAAAACTGTTGCTTTTTTATTGGTTCGGATACCACGTCAGTGGTATCTGCGTTATATTCTAGACTTTCTCCACTTTTGGCCATCAATAGATCGAACCACACTTTTGGGGGCAACCGGACAATTAAATCTAGACCACCATCATCATCTAGTAAACAGCTAACTACTGCTCATCCTCTAGGGAAGGGTAGCTAACGGAAAAATAGCTAACTACTAACCCATTCTAGGAACATGGCCAGATGCAGAACATGGACCCCATACAGAAACCATAAATAAGCCCCCTGAGCCTTTT